ACAGTCTCAGTTGTAGTACCTCATAAATTTTATGTTTTTTTTACCATAGAAAAAGATCAATACCGCAGTGAACGGGTTGCAGTTGACGGTAATGGACATTCTAAATTCAGCATTTCAAAAGAACAACTGGAATACCTAGTCAAATATGGGTTTACAGCACCAATGATGAGTAATGTTCTTGGTATATCAGAGGCAACTGTCCGTCAAAGACTGAGGTATTAATTATCTTGTGTTCCTATTAAAACAAATTTAAATTTACATTGAAGTAGTCGAAAACAAAAAGACTGCTGCAATTTTGTAATTGATAATCAATATAATGTAATTTGCGACACTTATAATTCTTCCGTCGGGGGAAGTGCATATTTGCCCAGTATCTGTTAGGAGTAAGTAGAATACGCCTGTGTGTCGATTGCTCCATCTGACATTTTCGGAAAAGATTTCTTTGGTTCATTTAAATCATGATAAAATTTTAATACTTGTATTTTTAGAGAATTTGGTTTAAGCCTGAGAAAAACAACACATATCACCGACATGAAGTTACATCAATCAATCACTGAAGTGATTGGTACAAATCGCCATATTGGACCGAATTCAGTCAGAGTTCGACTTGCTCAAAAGAAAATATTTGTTTCCAGAGAGAGAGTGAGGACAGCATGTGCACGTGTAGATCCAAATGGATGTTCCTTACGATCGTTAGAGAGAAAAAATATAAAACGTCGTACTTACAAGGTTGCTGGACCAAATTCCCTGTGGCATCTGGATGGAAACCACAAGTTGATAAGGTATATATGCAGTTTTGATATAAAGCTCAAATATATTTTAAAAATAAATATTGTACGATGGGTCTCATGTAGACTTTTTTTAGACCTACCATACAATGATATTCTTTATTTCTCTTAAAGTTCACATTGTCGAACTTAATTGATTGGCATTTTGTTAACACTTAATTTATTCATTTCATAGCAAAACCTTCTTAGTAGTTACTACGTTTGTATCTATTGCTATATATTTGATTTAAGAGTAAAAAATAACTCCTAATTATTACAAAAATCTATCCATCCCAACGGGAACTTTAAAGTTTGAATATTTCTTATTCAAATCAGAGACATATATTGTATTATGTGTCTCTGTTCAAATGAAATAATTATATGACACCTTCGTGTATGGTCTGTGGTTTTGTTGCAACTGAAACATTCAAATGTAGATATAACTAAAGTTAAAACTTCTCAACAGAGAATGATATTGGTATTTTTACTTAATTAATATCTGAAGATATCAAAATGTAATCAATGTCGAAGTCACATCTGCTCATGTTCAATACGAGTTGACATTGAAAGCATATTTTTTGCATATAGACAGAACTCGGATTTGTCCGTTTTTACGGTTATTACATAATAAAATAAATATACAGTTGTTCTGTGGGAGCCAATGCTCCATGTTGAAGACCGTACTTTGACCTATAATGGTTTACTTTTATAAATTTTGAATTGGATCGAGAGTTCTGTCATTGGCACTCATACCACATCTTCTTACATCTAGTTACTTTGTAACAGGTTTTAAGGAGTTGCTACCTGTAATGACAAATGGTAGTCTGTTTATCTCTATTTTCCTATGTCGTTGTTTATGTTTATATCTAAAACATTATGTGCGCTGTTAGTTTCTACAGACAATTTTCCACATCACTCTACTGTTCTTAGATAGGGAATTATTAGTCTGTAAGATAAAAGGAAAATTTTGTATATTAGCGATAGAGTAAACTAAACACACACGTACTCATGAAAACTTTGTCGTTTTGCTGATATATCAATTTCCATAAATAATCACATTTCTATTTTAACCATACGCTAACGAGTCTCAATGCAAAAAATATCGGGTTATCGGGTGCATTATAATTTGCAGCAGTCCTTGGTTTAAACTATGGTGTCCTTGGTTAAAACTATGGTGAAGGTCTTCAAAAGCTCACTCTTTCACAAATCTCATTCATAAACCAACTGGTTCAAATAGAGACGTAAACAACTGATAAAAGAAATCATCTGTCAATATTTTTATTCAATGTTTTAGAATTTAAATATTTGTTCACAGGTGGGAAATTGTCATCCATGGTGGTATTGATGGTTACAGTAGAATGGTAACATTCTTAAAAGCAAGCAATAACAACAGATCAATAACAGTTTTTAATGAATTTATCAAGGCAACCACAAAATACGGCATTCCGTCAAGTGTACGGGTAGACAAGGGCATTGAAAACAATGATGTATGCATATTCATGGAAGATCTAAGAGGCAACGGAAGGGGCAGTGCTATAAGGGGCAAAAGCTCCCACAATCAGTCGGTCGTGTGGGTCGACGTATTGGAGAATGTTAGTAATGAGTACTACGACCTGTTTACATACATGGAGCACAACAATATACTAGATATAACTGAAGAAGTACACATGCTTTGCTTTCTCTTTGTTTTTATTCCACGATTAAATGAAAGCCTAGTTATGTTTAACTATCAGTACAATAATCACCCACTATCAACTGAAAGTCACATAACACCAAGTCAGCTATTCATAACAGGTGTTCTGACGAAGTTCAATTCAGGAAATAAACCAATAAAAGAAGTTGTCGAAAATGCTGGAAATCATGACGAATTTCAGAACTCTTTACCTCCAGAAGACTATGGAGTTGGCGATTCGGATGAAGGGGATGTCGCCATTAATAGTGAAGATGAAGACATACAGACAATTCCTCAACGGACACATGAAAACCATCTTCTTTCAAGATTGGATGCAGCAATCAACCCACTAGAAAACGTTAGTAATGTGGAATATGGGCTTAAACTATTTAGGAAAGCATTAAGCATTGTTACCACAGAAGAAAATTAAACTTTTTTTCAGCTTAAATTGAGAGATTATCATTATTTATAGATTGTTCAGTTTAATGTCTCTTACTTTTCTTTCTTTGCTAGTATAATGAGGTCACAACATTGCAATATCGTATCTTCATATGATAACAAAATCTTGCTATGACTTTGCTAATAAAACATTGTAAACAGCATGTAGAATTACATAATGTCTTTATTAATTGGCATACATTTCAAATACAGTTATACATTATGTGTGCATAGTTCTTAGACACTAATAACTCATAACACATCAATAAAATAATAACAGGGACGTGTATATATAAAAATAAAAGAAATATTGTTTTGACGTAAATTTTGATTATCAAAAATCTTTTACCGGACCTTACCCAGACAAGAAATCATCGTCATCTTGATTTTCGACAACTTGTGGTCTTGCTGCTTCTGTATTTAATCTTTGTGCCCTGTTTATCAACATTTGCAGACGGGCTGCGGACGATTCAGCCATATTCATACTTTACCGCCAATATCAAAAAAAATCCGGAGGCTGTCCGAATAGTAAGATGACGACTGGATATTTTTAGAAAATACTTTGTTAGAAACATTTTGATTGGCCGACAAAAGTACAAAACTTACGGTATGGAATGAAAAACTTACGGTATGGAATTGAAAACCAACGCGTTGGTTTTTCATACCGTATGAATTACGAATCAACGCGTTGAAAGTGAAGACCAACGCGTTAGTAGTGAAAACCAACGCGTTGGAAGTAAAACCAACGCGTTGATAGTAAAAACCAACGCGTTGAAAGTAAAAACCAACGCGTTGAAAGTAAAAACCAACGCGTTGAAAGTAAAAACCAACGCGTTGAAAATTTCATACGGTATGTTCATACCGCCAAAGACACGAACGGCCACTCATACCTCTGGCCTTTGTTAGTCTTGTGTGTTTTTTAAATTTTAGTTCATTTATATGTTTTGGAGTTTAGTGTGACGTCCATTTTCATTGAACTAGTTTGTTTAGGGGTCAGCTGAAGCCCGCTTCCGGGTGCGGGATTTTCTCGCTGTGTTGAAGACCCATTGTGGCCTTCGGCTGTTTTCTGCTTGTTGGTCGGGTTATTGACACATTCCCCATTTCCATTCTCAATAAGATGGTTCTCAACTGACTACTACACTTTGTTCATAGACAGCCGGTGAGATCCGATCTATTGTAGAATTTGATTAGTCATGAGACTTTTCCATCATCCAATCAAATCACGTGTATTATACCGCAATTCCCATTGTAAACATGAAATTTTATTTTATGTTACAATCCAAGAAATGTTACCGCAAATCAACTAATAAAGATTGAAAGCATATTCTTTTTTTCAAACCATTATTTCATTGAACAATTTTTTCATTGGCTAAAATTTACTGTCAAATCCACAGTTGACATATCATAATAGCCTTCAGTTCGAAAGTTTTCATTTTGTATGACGTCACGTTTACCATGACGCGTATGTGCCCAACTCGTTCATGGAGTTTAGCGGAATTTTATTTTATTTTAAATTGATGCCTTTTTTCAATATTTTTTTCTTTTTATAATACATTAGTTTATTAAAATTTAGAATGGGAATTTATTTTACGCATTAATTTGGTTTATGCAACAAGAAACAAATTGTTCTGTTTGTTTACATTTTCGGATATTTTAATTTGCTATGTAACAAAGTACCGTCGAATATCGTTGAAATCTCCAGGGCAAAATTTTGCCCTTCAAGATTGGGCCGTACCGGTTGTTTGAGTGTAGCGTTATACAAGCGGATTCCAGCCAGTTTACATTCTCAATTTTAATATGATTGAAAAGGTTTTACAAATTACTGATAATTAATACCAATAGTGAATTTGTCTACAAATGACCTTTTGGTTGTGTTGTTGGTTTGCAGTCTCATCAATGTTTATCCTACACATTTTAAGTCATAATTAACTAAACGACACCAATTATTGCATGCATAATTTACGAAATATTAAGGATTGCATTTTACCACTCTTAAAAGGGTGATTAAAAGAAAACACTACAGAAAAGAAAATGATAACGTTTAATAAATTAATGTCAAGAAGTGTTACACTTAATATGTTTTATGACACATGTCAACACTCACTTGTGAAACATGTTTTGTCCTTCAGGTAATGTGTTTCATGACATGAACATGATCCTTCCACGCAAAGTAGGTCGTCTTGGCATTCAATCTGAGAAGTACACTGCATACCGGCCATTTGTCCTGTAATATATGGGTTTATACTAGTAATAAAAAAGAAAGGACTCAAAAAGATTACTGGAATTTCTATACTTTTTTTTTTACTTAAATTCAAAGTATAAACTATTTCTTTTCCAGGGGAGTTTAATAACTAATTTTGTTTTAGAATTTCATATTTCTTTATAGTGGCAAAACGCTGTGTGGGCTCTTTAAACAGTTTCCATTATACATACATTTACGTCAAAGTCTATATGTTCGCGTCTGAATGCGCAGCTGGTGCAGTAAAATTACTGCAGTTAATTCAGTATACAACAAATTGGAGAATATTTTTCCGTTTTCTTATTGATGATGAACTTAAATTTTAGCAACGGAAGTTTACTGCTTGCTCACGTCTTATAAATCAATAAAGAAGATACAAATCAAGGTAACGAACAAAAACTGAGGCATTTGCATGAATTACAAAAAGAGCGAGACTAAAACCTGTTTAGACGCGTAAGGGATGAAGTTTACAACTGTTACATTTCAAAAGAATAAAATGTTTGGGTTCGGAACGGATTCACACCTGTCTTTTTGTTTTTATCTGATTATGTATACGTTTTGAGGATATCCCAAAGACATGGAAATACATAAAAGGAATTCCCAAAGTCAAACTCAATTTCACAACTCGATTAAAGTTCAAAACGGCATATTAAGTGTTGTAGAGTTATTTTGTCGTTGAATTTTACTAAATATTTATAGAATAACTAATCGAAGAATTCAAATAGAGAAAAATATTCAACGAGTGACCGAACAACACATTAATTCACGAATGCGCGTAGCGCATGAGTTAATTATCAGTGTTGTTCGGTCACGAGTTGAATATTTTTCGATATTTGAATTCTTTGATTGGTTATTCTTTTTATTACATTGGAAAATGGCTTTTTTTAATGAAATTAATGTAGAAAATGTAAGGAACTATATCTTTTTTCTACGCATTCACAATTTGTTTTGATCCGACGTTATCGACGTCTTGACAACGCCTATTGTTGTATGACGTCAGAGGAGTGAAATAACCACGTTTATTTCACATGTGAAATTATCGGTTTTTATTACAATGGGAAATCAATGTAATTCATTGCAACCAATGTAATAATTACAATTATTCGTATAAAGGCAAATCTTTTTCACGGAATTGGTTGATGCCGAATCGATACAAGTTCGAATAGAATAAGAAACGTTTTAATTTTACCTGTAGACTCAAAATTGGTTCTTAAAAAAGTTCAGAGTAGAATTGTTACCAATTGTTGCATAATGACAACAAAATTGATATCACAACATTGAAGAACATATATCTTACTCATGATACAATTGGTTCCATTCCATATAAGTTCTACACTGCACCGGCAGGTACCCTCTAAACATATTAGCTTTCCCCTACATTCAAATGAATTTCGGCATGTTGCATTAAATGTGTAGTCTGTAAAATTGATAAGTATAAAGGTACTTCATAACAATCACAATGAAAACAATGCTAGAAGATTTTTTCATCATTATATCAGTATTGTCATCTATGTCTTTGTTTGATTGACTATGTTAATTTGATTTGAAAGCAAATGAAGTAGAGCCAATTTTGCTGCACTTATTTCACTTTCAACATTCTTAAAATCGACACTATATTGCACATAACAACATCTCAGTGTACAACGTATGCACTTTTTGATTAATATTGGCGTATGACTGAAATTGTGATAGATTTTGACAAATTTTATTATTTATCCGAAAATGATTACGGGAAAATTCACATTATAGACAGAATTTCTATTTAAAAGCAAGTCTGTGTATTGATTATCTTAAAATTATATTTTAGTTTACTTTGGTTTCGTATATGTTTTAATACAAAATTATACAAAACATTGGTATAATGTGTATTATTCTATTATGTAATCGATAAGAATATGTAAACGAAATAACATTTTTATATATGACTCTTGATTATTTACATAATTTACAGTCTTTAGAATTAAATATTCTTTGGATTTCGCCAACTTTACAAACCTGGCTTTTATTCAAACAAATACAGACGCGTCAAATACAGTTGTATTTTAAACTGTCCTCTTTATCAAAAACCATACGAACATTTGTGAGGGTTGACATTTTTCGTAATTTTTATTATTTTCATACATTTGGTAACACAATTTCTAGAGCTAATTGCCGAAACAGAGACAAAAGTCCAACTAATTCTTCCTTGAAAGACCTACGGTATGTGAGTGCTTACCACGATAACAACAATTTTTAAAAATTATCAATAGAAAATATAGACATATTACATTGATAATTGAATTTGAAAAAAAGAAATTTACCTTCATTTCTGGAAATATAATTTACAGATCCAACAAGAATTGATATGGCAGAAATAATCAAGCTAAATATTAATACCATTTCCACTGTAATGAATCGCGCAAATCACAGTCGCGTATTTATATTGAGTTTGGAAGCTACTAAAGGTATAAAAGAGACGGAAGATACCAAAGGGATATTCAAAATCATAAGTGGAAGACAAACTGACAAAGGTCATGGCATAAAACTTTAAAAGACAAACCCGAAAAGACAAACAATAGTCTAGAAAACACAACGTAGAATGAGCAGCACAAACCCCAGCAGATCCAAGGGGTTCATATAAGAGCTTTTTGAATGTCATACCCTTTATTCTCTATTTTGAGTTCATTATTCTATATAAATTCTGTAAACCCAATCTAAACCCTCAAACATAATGTTATTGCGTCTTACATTTTTTTGTATCTCTTGTCCTCTCACTCAGGACAATCATATGATAAAAATGGTAAAAGATGTTCAAATAAATTCATTTCTGTCTGTTAGTTAATATACGTTATACATAAAGTTCTTGTGACATTTTAAAAGATTCTATTTATGTTGTTTTCTTTCTAACGCAGAGTTTTAAAGTCTCGTAAGGAAAAAGTATTTGACTAGTGTCTAGTATATGGTTTATCTTATTTATATATGTAAAATATTGCAAGTTCTTGTTGATAAAACGCAAATAAGTTGTAAATTTAGTTTGACTGTGTGACAAATACGAAATCTTACTAAGTCATGAAAACTCTTATCTTTAAAGACAACGAAAATCAAATACATTTAGAAATATTGCGTTGAAGACACAAAACAAATTATAATAAAGATAAGGGTGGGAAGAGGTGTCGGAAAATGCTAAAGGAAAAGGACAATATACTGACAAGACAAAGAAATAGCAGCGATATAAATCTGACGGTCATTAAATACAGCAGGTATAGACAACCTTTGAATCTTATAACAGGGAAAATATATAAGATGCTCAGAAAGGGGAAACATAATTAATTAATCTGCTTCTCATCTAACACCCGTCATGTTGCCAAGTGGTTAACTTGGTAAGGAGACATTTCAAACGGGATAAAATCATTTAATCAAGTGACGTGAAGCACTTTTGGAAATGTTTTACGACAATGTATGACAAACTCACCCCAAAAAATCTATCATTTCTTTTATCGTTCAAAAACCATATATACAAAACACTCACATTAATAGTTTGAATTTCAAGTACCCCCATCTGGTTCACGTTGTCGAAATGTCCATATAAAAAAGTAAATTTGAAATTGTTTATACTAAAAGTATTTTAATCTGCAGGTGAAAAATAGAAAGATCGTAGTGTTTTTTTTTTTTCATCTTGCAGAATCAACAATTATCATTGTTTTGATACTCCCGTACTACAAATAAAATGTCTGTATAAAAATAAGGAGATGCAGTATGATTGCCAATGAGACAACTATCCACCAAAGTTCAAATGAAGTAAATATAAGCAATTAAAGGCATGCATACGGCCTTCAACAACGAGAAAACCCTATACCGTGTAGTCAGCTATAAAAGGCCCCGACATGTAAAATGTGAATCAATTCATAGGAGAAAACTAACGGCCTAATTTATAACAAAATATTTTACGAAAAACACATATGACAGACATGAACCAACGACAACTACTGAACTACATGCTCCTAACTTGAAACTGGTTGTTGCCGTTGAGGCATCAGAGATAAGCCTCTGCCAGGTAAACTGTGATACAGATAGATCATATAGCAAGTAGCCAATTGTCTGAAATCTGCTTTCCATTAATTTTGGGCTCATCACATTTGCGCGCATTTAGGGATTACATTTTTTTTACGTTTGTCCGCAGCTTTTGATTACATTTGCGCGCATTCATTTTACAGATAACACAGGTAATAATAAAGGTAATTCATAATAAATATGACTATGATGTATTAATTTTCATAATAAATAGGACTATAAATTATTAAATTTGGAATATGAAACAAATCGGGAAAAATATCATAAGGGTGTATGATGGATTTACTTTCTGTATTGATAGAACACTGAAGTCAGGCACTATTTCATGGTAATGCACTGTAAAGGATTGCAAATTTAGTAGAAAAACTGATGAACATTCAACTGCTATTCTAAATGGTAACTGTGATCATACACATGAGTCAAATGCTAGAAAACTTGAGAGGAAGATTATCCGCGTTGTTGCAAATAAAAAAACGACAGCAGACATAACTTCTAGGCCTATGAAATTAGTCCGTTGTGAATAACTGAATATATATAAAAAAAAAACACTTATTGACAAAGACCTGAAGAGTTTGAGAAAATACCAGGATAGAGAAGTTAACAGAATTTCATTTCTCAAAGCAATTGGCTACAAATTTCTGCACGTACCAACATGTAAAATCAGTACTTTTACTTTTTAGATTTGCTATGTTTTAACATTTTAACATTTTTATCTGCATATATTTCTAGGATTTAGTGCTTGTGCATAATAAAACGGACTTATCCTGCTCGAAATCCCACTTCCACCTCCTCGATGGTGAGCAGGAGATTAAGACTAACGGAAGGAGTACTTGTACTTGTAAATAGTTAAATAAGTATTATTACCTGTATTTACCTGCGTTTACCTGAGTTTACCTGTAAAATAAATGCGCGCAAATGTTATCAAAAGCTGCGCGCAAACGTAATGATTTTTGCGTGCAAATGTAATGCACCGTTATTTTTTTGTTTACAATAATATATTCCCTAAGGTCTTTACCTATTTTTTTATATTTCTTTGGCTTTTCAAATTACATGTATTATTTTTTTTTTTCATCAATGTCTTTTTCGTTTGATCGGAACGTTGATCAATGGTCATATTCAATTGTGACATCATGTTTTTAGATGTCATTGAAAATTATCTTAATATTATAGTACTTGTTCTATCTATGAACATATGGGGACAATTACCACAATCAACATTTCAGTTTATTCACTAACTTGGTATTTCGAATGTTAAACAAACGTCCTTAAAATGTCCTGTACCAAGTCAGGAATATGGCAGTTGTTATCAGATAGTCCGTTTCTATGTATGTTGGCGTTTGCTTTTGTTGTAGTTCAGTGTTTCTGTTGTTCCGTTGTTTTCCTCTTATAGTTGGTGTGTTTCCCTCGGTTTTAGTTTGTTACCCGGATTTGTTTTTGCTTAATCGAATTGTGACTATTGAACAGTGGTATACTATTGTTGCCTTTATTTACATTTGTCCGAATTTCAAAACATCAGCCAAAAGAGTAATGCATGTACGTAACAAAAAATATAAAGATTAATGCGCAACAGACAATAAAAAGAGCAATGTGCAACGGACTATAAAGAGAAATGTGCAACAGACTATAAAGAGAAATGTGCAACAGACTATAAAGAGCAATGTGCAACAGACCATAAACAGCAATGTGCAACAGACTATAAAGAGCAATGTGCAACAGACCATAAACAGCAATGTGCAACAGACCATAAACAGCAATGTGCAACAGACTATAAAGAGCAATGTGCAACAGACAATATAAAGGGCAATGCGCAACAAACAATATCAAGGGTAATGCACAACAGACAATATTAAGATCAATGAGCAACAGAAAAAATACAGAAGGCCTATTTTTTAAATGTAATTTGTATAGTCGAGATTAGTTTTTGGAAAATATAAATGCACTTCAAATAACCATGCACTTATAACAATCTTCTCAGAAAACAACATAATCCCAACATGTCTTTTAGGATTATACAAAAAATTATGACTTTGCATGTCGTCTTAAAATGTCGTTTTATCTTTTCTTGAAGTAAACTGATTAAACATTAAATGGCAAATAATTTAAAAGGCCTCATTGTTTTTCAGAGGGACGATTTTTCCTTGTCTCATGGTAGATTTATATTTGTTTGCACAGCGCTTGAATTCTGCAAGTACTCCTTGTATTGATTCCTTTTACTGTATTTAGTAGACTTCAATTAGTAAGTCAAAACGACACACTTCAAACGGAGAAAACATATATATATATATAAAACGTACTTAATCGATATCCTGTCAAGATATACCTTTATATAATTGATAAACAGCTCCATGGTATCTAACGAAGTATTAACACAAACTTTCTTGTTTAAATTCGGTGCCCAATAACTTAAAAGTTTAAACTATTATGGCCAATCGTGATATTTGATAAGAGTTGATATTTGATCAGGCCTAGTATATAAGACATTGTGACTTCCTTATTCACAATTAGATACTTAAGTGAAAAAGGTTTGATCAAATCTTGATGTAACAAAAAACATAATATAATAGTTATTTAACAACTATCATGGACCAGCCGGGGTCCGTAATATGGACATTCTGGTTTTTATGCCTATTTGTGGTATATAGGCCAGTCAACACAAACTTTATCAAGTTCAGACCGTTCTATGAGTACCAGTATAATTTCCAATCGGATTCAGATGTCAAAGACCTCGGAAAGTTTAGAGTTGATGCAAAGGTAGGTTTCCGAACAAACATATTGTTGATTTACTGTCACTTTGATTGTAAATTCAATCAAATCCCCTTTACATAGATGCATATATTCATTAAAATTCTTAAAAGTTTTAATTATATGAGATTCAGATGTCTTCCATCAATGATTTGAGAGTAAAACCTGCAAACTGTAAATAGAGACTGTGGGTATATTCCTTTGAAATGAAAGACAATGAAAAAAGTATTAGTGGATATATGAATTACCTACTTCTAAATGACTTTGCTTACATGTATATACGATATACGTAGTTGAACGACCATATCGCTATTTTATAATTCTCTTTAAATTTAATCCACCTGTTATGTTCCAAATGTATAATGTATTCGCTATATTTGATTACACATATAAAACTAAATGATTGCATTTTTAAGAAGAAGAAAATGTAACGTTGATAGCATACTTCTTAGTTGTATCACAAATTGTCAGTTTTTAAGAATTCGTATTTGCCAAAGTTATTTCCTATTCGATATCACATTTCTTTATACTGATAAATAAGTTATCTTATAGATTAGTTTGGTCAAGATGTGCAAGTTTTAGGTTCCAAAGGAGAGGCAAAAGA